AGCGGCCGCCATGGCTAGGAAAGCACAGAACACGATAGCTTTGGAATACATTTTGCTGTTTAATGACAATCCCATGAACAGACCGCATTTTATATTTGTTCCGCATCTGTACGCTGACAAGCCATTAATTTCTACGACAATTTATCATGATATTTTTACAATACGGAAAATTGTATTCCAGATGATACTTCTTTGTAATTAGAAGTATATTAATTGATGTAAATATTGAACTATACGGTATAACACAGATGATTTATATTTATATAAAACAATGCTATGGTCGTATATATTACATACCTCATTGACAATACTCCGCAGTATAGTTGCTTCTATCAAATTAAATATACTGCTATAAATGCGTAAGTGCATAAATTTACTGTTTTTATAAAGAATGTAAAATGTATTATTTATTTATATTTAACATTAAAAAATTAATTTATTCAGACATTTAATTTAATTAATTTTTGTAATAAAAATAGTGCCCATTAAAAAATAAGAATCAAGATATCCAAATAAAATGTATATTATAGAATGCGTATAAAAATTAATAAAAAGACATATAAGAGTCAAGCTAATTTTTAAATATTAAAATATATATATCTAACATAAATACAATGAAAATTTGCTCAAAGCTTTGAAAAGATAATACATTACATTACATTACATGTTTCAGCTTATTATTAAGCCATCTTCAGATGATACATAATTATTGTTCCGGAAGTTCTTAAATATTTACTAATTGGCATTTGTCCTTGGTAAATTTTGAATGTTCGGTACGTGTCCAGGCCAAAATTTCCTTCTCAACGATTAGCAGATCAAAAGCTTGAAATTTCTGTATATTATATATGATGCAAGTCAATTATTGATCCATATATATTTTTGTCATGTTGCTTATTTTTTATTTATTTTTTCTGACTAATTTTGACTAATATTCGATTATCACAATGAGATGTTCGAGTGTACGGTGAGTGTTCATAACAAGATTTATATAACTTGGTTTTTTTTCTTCTTTTTTTCCTTTTTTTTCTCACATATATATGATATCGTACTGACTCGTACAACAGATAAAAATGTATTACAAATACATGATATTAATGAATCACTCGTTTCATCCTAAAAGTGTATTAAACACTCGACACATCAAATTTCTATATTAATAAAGGATAACAAAGCTACTATCTTTTACTGAATTTACTGAACATCTAACACTTATTATAGTCATTTAAATCGAGTAACACAAAAACATTTAATTTTCAACGTTTGTATCGATAGGAATTTTAAATGTGGAGATTTGATGTCTCTTTAACTAATTATTTCTTATTAGGCATTGAAACTGATGTGTATACTTCAGAAAATAAAATTTGTTATTATTATCATTTGTTAAATAAAATAAATAAAATTTACAATGTCTTTTACCATGAGATCTAATAAAATTTCTGTTTAATTTTTATGTTATGTAGGATAGGAATAAAAAAACATTACTTTTAATTTTTGCCGGATATTTATTTTATATTAAATAATATATAACAATTCCTCATTCAGTATTATACATTCATATATTGTCAATATTGCCGTCAAACATAACTGGAATTTGAATTAATTTTCTGTGCAATCCAGTCATTGAATTTAGATACCCTTGTGTATACAGAAGGTGCGCCTAAAGTACCACATGGAATAATACCCCAAGATACAATTCCAGTAAGCACCGATTTTTTTCCGTTATACGAAATTAATGGACCACCGGAGTCACCCTAAAAGTATATTAAAAACAACGATACATTAAATTGTTGCATTAAAAAACGATGACAAAGTTATTATTATTCACTGAATTTACTAAATGTCTGGAACTTACACTGCATGCTGAGATTTTATTGTACAGTGGCCCAGTGCAGACATTAGTTTCATGAACAGGAGAAGATCTCGCGAAACGTTTGACGGATTCGTAGCAAGTAGCGCGATTAATGTACTCCATCTTAACATGATGAAGTTTATCTGGCATTATTGGATAACGGCTAGTCGAAGTGGAACCCCATCCACAAAGCCATGCCTCTCCAGTTGGTTCACTTTCTGGTGGTGGTAATTCGATGGCTTGTACGTTATTGTTCAACTTCAACGGAGATGCAAGCTTAAGTAAACTAATGTCATATGGACCTACAGAACTAAAAATTAGAATATACATTGCAATACATATATATATATATATATATATATATAATTATATACTAATTAATTACACATTTTTTGTAGAAACATATGTTTTAAATTAATGTATTAATACAAAAAAAAATTGTAGTATTAGTGGAAGAATAATAATGATCTGCAAAGTTATATAATAGAAATTCTATGTATATAACGCAACAAATCTCGAAAAATAATATGTATATCATTACTTATTTAAAATATAATTTTCTAATTCCAAGTATCAAATGCTAATCGCGATATTTAATATCAATGCTGCGGCTACCACTAATTGTTATTTCGATTATTGCACTCATTCTATAAAAAGAACTGTTGTGATTACTAACACAAAATTATGTTTTAGGTTACTAATACAAAATTATATTTTAGATTACCTTTATATACAATTAGAAATCAATTATAAATAGAACATTGATTCTGTACTAAACAGAAATCATTCATGTAAGAATTAATTGAATTGTTCGTACTTACTACTTTCAATTTCTGCTTACCCTTTATAATTTTCATGTACGTAAGCTTGCACCACTTTGACTGTCTGTTCGGTGTTCTCTATAAGTTGAAGATTATACTTTCCAGCCTTGACGCGAAGAATGCTTACAGTAGGAACGGCTTTAATACAATGCCCTGCTGTTATAACCCATTTTTCGTTCAAGATGGATCCGGCGCAAAAGTGTTGGGAGAGTATTTGGAGGGAAACTATGAACGGATAACTTCCTACTCCTGCTTCTTCACCTCCAACCACTTGTGATGAGATCAAGCGAGTAAAAGGTGGAAAAATAGGCGGCATCCGGAGACCAATTTTAGGTCTCTCTATAATTTAAATTAATGTTTAAGAAAACATTTGCTAAGGGGAAGAAGTTAATGGTAGCACATCAAAGCTATCTTTATGAAATTAGAAGAATTTTTAATAACATAATTAGAAATTTTGTTATTTGCTTTGCAATACGTGTAACAATACAATAATTTAGTTATAATACTTTTTAATAAAAATTTTTTATATAATTTTCTAGTAACCATTTTGTAAGCTTACCTAAATACAAATTATACACTCAAAGTGTTTCAGATCTAACGCACCACTTGCTAATGATAGATTCTTGAAGTCATTTTGAAACGAAAATTTAATACCATAATGTCCAAGCTAAATATTTTTTTAATATAATAAATATCCAGGATTAGAAATACCAGTAATTTTATTTTCGCATACGTTATATTTATATCGATATTAACAAAAGGTAACTATTAGCTTTTATATTTAACACTTTACGTTGTACTATACTTAAATGCGCAAATTTTAGACGGTACACTAAAAAAAAAGATTCGTTGCTGCAATAATTCAGATAGTAAAATATGGCACAGTATTTTTATATGGCTGCAACAATCAATTTTTGGTTGTAGCAGCAAATTTTTATAGTTGCCTATCGAAATCATACTGACATTGCGGATAGGCTAACACAACTATAAAAATTTGCTGCTACAATAAAAAATTGATTGCTGTAGCCATATAAAAATGTTGTGTCATATTTTACTATAATTATTGCAGCAATTTATCTAAATTATTGCAGCAACCAATCTTTTCTTTCAGTGTATAATTTTCTAGTTTTAAATAATTATAATTCAAAAACTATTACAGCCTCGATATTTTGGTATTAGAATTTTAGTCTCAAAATAACTTGAGAAATCTGCCATTAGCAGGTGAGTTAGATCTGAAACATCTTCTATATATATATATATATATATATATGTATATATGTATATATATGTATATATGTATATATATGTATATATCGAGAAAATTAACTTACCAGCGATCGCCATAGCAAGAAAAACAAAGGACACGATAGCTTTCGAATACATCTTGCTGTTTGATGACAATCCTATGAATAGATCGCATTTTATACCCGTTTCGTCGAGTACATTCATACGATATCAGTGATGATATGCTGATAAGCCATTATTATCTATGAGAATTGATCACATACTTTTACGATTAAAAAATTTTATTCCACATGATACTTCTTCGTATTTTTATGTGTATTAATTGTTATAAATATTAAATCGTAAGGTACAACATTAATGATTTATATGAATAATTTATACAATGCTGTTAAGTCCTACATGTTATATACTTCAATGACAATAATCTGCATCATACAATGGCTGTTATAAAAAATTAGGTATACTAAAAATGCATAAATGCATAAATTTACAGTTTTTCTAAAGAATGTATATGTATTTATCCACATCTAATACTTAATGTTTAATTTATTTAGGCATTGAACTTAATTAATTTTTTCACAAAAGTAGCATTTATCGAAAATAACAAAGATATCCAAACAAAACACAAATAATATTAAGAAATTAATAAAAACTGATAAAGCATAATTTAATTATTCTAATAATAATTATAAGCTTAAAATAAATTAAATATAACAAATAAGAACAAAATTATGCTAAATAAAAAGCGGTAATATAACGGTAATAAACAATATTATTAAACATTTAATTAATTTTTTTATTTATTATTTGTTTTCATATTATTTAATTAAATTCTAAATGAACTGATGTATCATTAAAAACTAATTAATAATTGAATATAAATAATAAATCATGAAACATTCTTCTAGTTGTAATTGGTTAAACTGTAAATCCTATTATGATAGGATCATATATTAATAAATAAAGATGTATTGTTACCTAAAATCGATTTTACCATTATTTATTCTCTTTTACACCATGCAATTGTTGTTTGTCTGAAACTTTTTCTCGAAAATTCCTTTCTTTTAACATATATATTCTACTGTACTTAAAATAAAACACCTTGTATATGTTAACTTTTAATTATATGATTTGTTAAATTAAAATATGTATTGTAGATGAACAAATTAGTGTTATCAAAATATTATAGATATACGTATATGTATATTTAAGATAATAACGTGATTATGTTAAATAATATAAATAAAAACATACATAAGCGTTTTGTTCAGTCAATCAAGTTACTATTAATTAATTTTGACTTTTTAAATAGGAAAGGAATATAAAATGTTATTGTTATATATGTATGCTGCATATTTATTGTATTTTACGTTAAATAATACATAATATATAATAATTAATAATATATAATGTGTCATTCAGTATACATTGATACGTCGTCAATATCGTCGTCATTAATACATTAATAATTACTAATTTTCTGCTTAATCCAATCAATGAAACTGGATACTTTAGTGTATACGGATGGTGCTCCTTCACTACCGCATGGAATAATACCCCAAGATACAATTCCAATAAGAACCGGTTTTTGTCCATTACGTGAAATTAGTGGGCCACCGGAGTCTCCCTAAAAGTGTATTAAAAACTCAATATATATGTATATTAAATTGTTACATTAATAAACAATGACGAAACTACTGTGAAGCTCATATACGAAATTTATTGAACATCTGTATATCACTTACACTGCATGCCGAGATTTGATCGTACAGTGGCCCAGTGCAGACATTGGTTTCATGAACGGGAGAAGATCCTATCAAACGTTCGACGGCTTCATGGCAAGCAATGCGATCGAGGTACTCCATCTTAACATGATGAAGTTTATCTGGCATTATTGGATAACGGCTAGTCGAAGTGGAACCCCATCCACAAAGCCATGCCTCTCCAGTTGGTTCACTTTCTGGTGGTGGTAATTCGATGGCTTGTATTTCTTTCGTTAACTTTAATGGAGACGCAAGCTTAAGTAGAGCAATGTCATATGGACCAACACCACTGAAAATTAGAAAATATGTGTTACAGTATATATACATATATAATGCAATATATATATGTGTATTTACATTTATTAATTACAAATTTTTTAAATGCATTTCTTTTAAACTAATAATGAAAAATTACAGTATTAGCGGAGGAATGATAATAATAATCTATAGTCAATAGAAATATTATAACGTAAAAGATTTTAACGATGCATTGTATTGAATTAATAGGTCATCGTTTATCTGAAATATAGCGTTCTAATCGTAAATATCAAGTGCTAATCATGATACTAATATCAATACGTCATTGCTAGTTGTTTTAATTGTTGCATTTATTCTACAAATAAAATTCCTGAATATAATAATTTATAAGTTATTTTGATCTAAATTATCTCTCTATACAAAAAAGGTTACAAATGAAATTTAGGATTAATGAATTTAGGAAAAAATTTGGTACCAATGTTACAAACGTCATGAAAATCTTCAAAATAATTGTTGTAATGTTTTGCCTTTTTGATGGCTCGGAATATTTGTGATGTGTTAACCAAATTTTGTCAACGGATTCGTATTCACAGCAGGTAAAAATATATCGAAAATAATTACTCAAACACATTCGTGTTGCAAAGGAACTCAAATTTTGTCGAAGATGGAGTTAATTAAATTATTCATACTTTTTTTTAATTTTGCTTTTTAACGTTTTACTTACCCTTCATAGTTTTCATGTATGTAAGCTTGCGCCACTTGAACTATCTGTTCGGTGCTTTCGTTTTCTTGAATATTGTGCTTACCGGCCACAACGCGAAGAAAATTTAAAGAAGAAACTGCATCAGCACAGTGTGCTGCTGTTACAACCCATTTTTCGTTTATGATGGATCCAGCGCAGAAATGAGAGCCAAACATTTGAAGGGAAACTATGAACGGGTAATATCCTGCTGGCGCTTCTTCACCTCCAACCACTTGTGGCGAGATCGGGCCAGTAAAACGTGGCAAAATCGGTGGCATCTGGAGACCAACTCGGGGCCTCTCTTAAATTTGAATTAATAATATTTAAGGAAATACATTTGCGATAAAAGTTGATCATAAAACATAGGGCTAAAAATAGTTCTCAATGGAATAAGTTAGAAGTTGTAATGATATAATAAAGACTGAATTTTGCTGTTTGCTTTATAATCTGTGGAACAATACAGTAATTCAATTATTATTTATTTAATTAGTTTGAGAATATTAATAAGACAAATTTTTTATATATTGTTTTTGTACTTATTTCTTAAATAACAATATATAAATTTTATATACACATACAAAATGTTTTGTATCATGTAGGCATGACTTCAAATGTAAATTTGGGTCATAAAAATTATCTTAAAAAATTTATAAACATTAGTTTTATCGGATTTTTTTAAGTTATATATATATACTTTTTCGTGTTTTGTTAATTGAAGAACTTGCTGCCACAATGAGCTAGCACGCATTTTGTAAATGCAGCGTAAATGAACTCTAACGTTAAAGTGATATTGATATTTTTCCCATTCCTTCAATTTTAAAGTTCATATACTCCGTTTTTATAAAATATGAAATAGCTCTTCAACAATTTAGCAAGCTCTTCTATTCTCATAATCACAAACTAACCTAGCATTTTCGCATCTCATTCTTGATGCATCTTTGCATCTTATTGATTATATTAGTAAGGCAAAAATGTGAAAATGCTATACTAGCTCAATTTTTATAACGAGAGTTAATAAAATATGAAAATGTCTGTAACTTAGAAATGAGATCAGATAGATAAATAAACTTTTTGTATTATTTCTATATTCTGAATTTATTCCTGGAGTTATGCCCATATATTATAAAACGTCCTATGAATGTGTCAAATAAATCTAGAAAATTGACTCACCAGCGACCGCCACTGTTAGGAGAGCAAAGAACACGATTGCTTTGGGAAACATTTCTCTGTATGATGTTAATTCACAAAATTGACTGCATTTTATACTCATTTCGTTGAGTTTAACAGCATGTTATCAATAAAGATGAGATGATAATTTATTATAATCTACAGAAAATTACAATGCATTTACGATAAGAAGGATTTGATTGCTTTCGTGATCTTCTTTGTGTATACGATTGATATAAATATTGAATTGAATAGCACGATTAACGCAACTAATTTATACAAACAAAACTACTAATCTTATATATTACGTATCTTATATATTATTTAATTACACTTTATATTTAAGATTTGATTTATTTATTTACTTAACTTAAGCAGATTTTATCAGAAAAAAGCGCCCATTAGTTAATCAAACAAAGATAGCTATATAAATAAAATAACAAAATTAAGGCATGCATGTAGAAAAATCAATTAATAAAACATATTTTTATTATTTTGGTTATGACATAAAAATAAATTAAATTTAACAAGACAACAAATGTAACAATAATGAAAAATATTAACACAACTAATCTTTCTTCTATTTTATTATTTGTCTCGTTATTGTTTAAGTCGCGATCTTAATATGCTAATTAAGCATAACATTTATTTAAGTAGTAACAATAAAACATTCTTCAATTAATTAAGCTGCAAATCCAATTATGATAAATTATTCAGTAGATAAACTTTTATTACTGCTATCTGATTACGATTAATCATTAAATGTACAAAAAGAATGCGGAAAATCAATAATTTAGTGTATGATATATCGAATGGATTTATTTATTTACTTATTTATCTGTCGAGATTATCTGTTTTATATTCTAACGTAATCCAAATTAACAGTTTAGATAAAGAATAAAAACATTGTAATTATGGAGGGGATATGTACATAAAAGACTAAAATACCTTTGTGCAAAATATTTGTTTATTTTTTTCTTTTGTTCGTTTTCAATGAACCACTCCGTGCTGTGAGTAGAACTACTAAATCGTACATTACAAATAATACAAATAATTTTATTTAACTCAAATATTAACTAAATTAATTAATACGAAAAAAAGTATATCTAAGTTAACATCTCATATTAATATTTAAATGAAACGACGTAAAGGTTCTTTGGAAAAAATTAATATTATGATAGTAAAAAGCTTTATGATAGATGATTAATAATGAAAGAATAAGAAGATAAAGAGCAATAAAAGTATTAAATTAAGAAAGTTATTATCCGATATCAAATTATTTCTTAATATCGAAGATAATATTCTCATTGTTAACGCAGAAAAGACAGCGCATCTGATGAAATCAATACTATGAAATTATATGACAATACTCACGGTTAATCTCTTTTATTGTTAAGCATGGTATAGAATAAAAACTATCTACATTATATTTATTCCAACTCTCTTTTATAATTCTTTAGAATTTTGCAACACTGCATATATATTTTGCACTCTTTATCTTTTGCTTATTTTAGATTCTGTATAAATAGTATTTTACTATATGAATTTTTAATTAATATTAAAAATAATTATATTTGCTAGAGTTGATCAAATAATTTTAATCATGTCAGAAGTTTCTTATTGTTTTACGAGAATAAAAATTTTTTTGTCATGATTTATTTTACATTATTATCAATCTATATATAGATTGATAATAATTTAAAAATTATTATAATAATGAAAATTATGAAAATTATTATAATAATTTTCATGAACGTTATTTATTTATTTTATATCTTAGTGTCATTCCATTATTTGAAAGATTATTGAAATTTGATATTTTTGATAATTAATGTTATAGTATGATTATATTTATTAAAAGAGAAGATAAATAAAAATATCCATATTACAATTGTTTCCTTTCTCTAATATTAACTTTAGTAATATCTGATTTACGAATGTAATTAATCATTAAATTCACTGTACAATGTAATTTACAACATTAATAAAAATTTATTTTATTTTATCTATTCAAGAAACTTTGAATTAAAAACTAAAATTAATACTATAGAATTAAATTTTTTAAATTGTATTGTATACTTACATAAAATTATAGTATAGGCTAAAATAATAAAATAATGTCATAAGTTTTCTTCAGATAGGATTTATTGAAATTTTTAATGTATAATAATTATAGACAAAAAGCTAGACAGTTACTATTCGACTTTTTATTTCTTTTTTTTACATTATATATAGGATTAAATATCGGATCGGATGAAGAATTTATAAATTATAATTTATTTATTTATAACAATTTTTTAGCATTATAAAATGCAACATTATTGTCCTTAGTGTTTGGCTAATTTTATTTGTTAGAAAGCTTTCCTTTTTAATTTATAAATCAACACTCTTAATATTTTAATAAAATATAGAATTATGTCCGAATACAATATTGATAAGTATAGGTATATTAATTAGTAAAAAATGACGAAAGTTGATTAACGAGATTATGTATTAATAATATTTTAAATTTTAATTATTACTAACAATCCATATTATCGTTTTGATCCAAATAGTGTAAGAAGCTACGCGAGTGTAGACCGAAGGCATGTGACTGATACCGCACGGGTAGACTCCCCATGAAGTGATTCCAACTAAAGTGGGAACGTTGTTTTCAAACTGAACCAATGGGCCGCCAGAGTCACCCTACATGAAAAGTATTTAATTATTAAAGATATTGTACTAAAAGAATGTTTTGTATTTAATTATCTAATTCTCTTTATTGTAATACTAATAACAAATTTAGACATCTAATAGTAATAATTATATCTATATAATATGTGCATATTATATACACTATACATTAGGACATAATTTTACAATACTTTTAGACGGATTAAAATTAAAATCTAGTGCCGTTTTTAAATAGATTAACAAAATAACTGATTAACGGATAATACGATTAACATTAGATAATAATATTCTCTAAATTTCTTAAAGTAAAATCTCTTTTCGAAAAAGTTAAAATACTGCCACTATTGAAAAAAAATGAAAAATTTACACACTGAGAAAAAAATAGTTTAAATTTAAATAAATATTTATTTGAATACTGCCAACTATGTACCCAAATTTAAATAAATATTTATTTGAATACAGTCAAACATTTACTTACAACAAATAAATATTTACTAAATAAAAAGAAGTAATTGTTAAATCAAATTAATGTTTTTTATACCAAATAAATATATTTTTATATTTAATAAATATTTAGTTGGTACAGTTCACATAAATATTTATTGAAATTTAGGATTTTTTTTTCAGTGCACTCTTAAATAAGAGGGACAGATTTTCACTCTTTTTTTGGAGTGAGATTTCACACTTTTAGAATGAAATTCACTTAAAAAAAGAAATGAAATTTCTTTCCTTTCGAATGAATCTAATTCCAAAAAAGAAAAATAAAAATCAGCCTCTCTTATTCAAGACTAACCCTTTTGGAGTGAGACTTCACTCTAAGAAATTTAGAAAATATAAAATCGAGAATGAATATTCTTTTTGTAATCACACAATTATAATCGTAGTACTAAGTTTACGTAATTAATTACAAAAACAAGAAAAAAGTATAAAAAGTTTAAATTTTATTTACAGAACAAGTTGATATTTCATCAATAGCGGCAGTGCAGATTTGTGAATCGTAAAGTTGCGGTGCTTCAAGACTTTCCGAGAACTCATCTTGACAAGATTTACTGTTCAATAATGGAACAGTAACTTTTTGGAGAACGTTGGGAATCCTCTGTATCCATGTCTTAGAGACGGAGCCCCATCCAGACAGTACAGCATTTCCAACTTGTACCTCGTCTTGTTCAGGTAATTTGACAGCGGATACCCACTTGTTAAAAGTGAGAGGAGTTTTAAGTTTCAGAAGAGCGATGTCGTATGGTGCAACACCTCTGTAAAAAGTAATACAATAAAATTTAAAATATCGTAATCAGACTCATTATCAGTTGAAAAATACGGATACCAAAGAATTTATCAAAAGGATAGTGATAATTTGAACCATGACATACATTGCGAATTGTGAAATGATTGCGTATGATATCTAAGTACATAAATACTTTTATAAATTCTCTTGGAAACAATTAAATATATATTTATCTACCACATTTTAAAACTGTTTTAGTATTTTAGATATAATCTACATTCGTAATCCCAATATTTTAGAATATTTTAGATGAAATCTACATTTGTAATTTTACAATATTGATTAATTATTAACATTTTAATTTACACACATATATATAAATTCATTAATTACATTTTAAATAATATATATAAGGAATTCTTTTCAATATGATATTTTTATAATTAAGCTTTAATTATATTAGATGATGTTATAACAAACGGTTACAAATTATTAGTATCGTTTAGTTAAAAAACTTAAAAATAATATATCTCAGAAATCAAAAGAGTCTGCAATGTAATTCAAAGTGTGCGCGTTATTCAAGACTGTGAACTATAATTACAAGTAAAATTAAAGTAATCAATAAGGTGTAATATTTTCTAGTTTTACGAAATTCTTGCTGCATTAATTGGAATTCCGGTAAATTCAACCAGAAAGGTATCAGATATTTATATAAAATAAGTCGGTTAAAGCGTTACAAGTTTATATTTCGGAAAGCATTTTAGAGACCTTTATGTGATCTTCATACGATTATCCACGGTTAAACCAATGACACCATCTTATGTTCTCTCTTCTCGAAGTCACAAATATTTTTGTATCTAAATTATTTCTCTCTAAAATGCTTTATTTCCGAGATATAAATTTGTAACACTTTAACTGATTTACTCTATATATTTAAATTTGTCAAGCATTCTAATCAGGATAACTAAAAATTCAATTATTTAACTAGAATTCCGATTCATATGATCAGAATTTGTTTTATTCGTACTCCTTGTTGATACAACCAGAATTTTTTCCAATGTAGAGTTTCACAGTTTCTGAAATATTTATTTTTATCTACAAATAAAAATAATAGACATAACGTGTTTTAAATTCAAAATTGTTTGTCGAATATACGCACATGCGTAAGAAAATTATGTTAATACTGAAGATGGTCTAATGGAAGACCGAAACGTTTATTCAAGTAAAATCAATTGAAAGATTATTGTAATTCGATTGAAATATAAAATAATAGCGTCTAACATCTTGCGTTGTGGTTTTATGCCTTTCAAATAATTCTCTGTTTTTAATTTTAACCACGTATTGACTCTTGTTTAAAAATAATAGACATACCCTGGATAATTTTCGTGCACATAAATCTTAGCAACCTCAACTTCTTGCTGAGCTTCCTCATCTTCAAAAAGATGATACTTGCCAACGATGACCTTAAGTTCGCCTTGTGTCATAATGCAATGTCCCGCAGTTAAAACAAAACTCTCGTGTACAATCGAACCACCACAAATGTGGTTAAAACGGATTAAGGGTGGCAAACCCCATTGAAGAGAGACCTGATAAGAGAATTCTCCTGGTATGGCATTCTCACCATCTGTGATCCTGGATTTCAGGCCGAAAGAGACGGCCAGACATGCTATAAAAATAATATTCTTGAGGCTTCCACGGGTGCTTTTTATATAAAGGTTATGCGTTTCACAGGTTTCCTCTGTGTCCAGATCCATTCTTGAAATGTCAATGTTTCGTGAACTACGCATAACCTTTATATGCTATAAAAATATTTAAAAAAATTTTAAACACATAATTCTTCTAGAAATATAATTATATTTTTGCAAAGTTTGAACGTTTCATTTTAGTGTTTATAATATATTTAGTGTTGTTCTTATTGCTTAGATAAAACTGTTTCATAAATAAATCTTTCGTTTAAAAGCACATAATATTCTAGATATTTACTTAATTTTTTATATAATTAATAAGGGAAACCTTTTATCGAGTGTTTTATTTATTAGATCAGTAATTCTCAGACACAGTGTATTTATATTTAGATATATATTTTAGAAAAAAAATTTCTGCTACCTGCATATTAATTGTTATTCTATTAAAAAATTTAAAACATACAAACTTTATTTTTATAAAAGATAATATTATATATACATATAACAATAAGGATGTGCAAAAAATGAATATTCTTACCATGGAATGCCAGAACAATAGCTAAAAGACACTGAATCAACATTGCCAGTATGTTAATTCAACAGAAGCACTGAATAAGACCTTACGGTTTATATACTACGAAATAACCGAAAATATCTCGTGATAAGGTATGCGTGTATTTTGGATTAATCTTGATAACGCAACTTCTTCTCGAACGTATAGATAAGCAAGCATTGACTGTTTTTTAATCATTGATTTGTCTCTTAAAAAAGACTTCTTCTTAATCATTAATCTTCAAGTATATTAACACTAGTCGATTTTATCATGTAATTATTTTATGCTAGAAATTCATCTCCATCTTTATATAATAGTATAAAAACACTTTTATTTATTGCATCGCATGTTTTATAATACATTTAAATTATAATTAAAAATCAAACTAATAACCTGATAGTTTTAATAAATAAAGTAGGAGACAATTCTTAGTGAATTATTATTTGTACAAAAGTATTTGATACTAATATATAATAAAATAAATAATAGATACATTCATATTACATTATATACATTCTCTTCACTAAACTATAAATATAATTCTGTATACAAATATACTTCACATAATCTCTACAAACAGAAATGTACAAAAATAAACATATCTAAGGCAGTTACGAATTTTTACAATTTAATCAGAACATTTCTTAAAATATAATTTTTTCTTTAAATTAAACTATATAATTAAATTTTCTAAAAATCAATCCAGAAAGTAATTTGACTTGATTAGGAAACTCAAAATCTATTACAGCACTCCTGTAATTTTTGTAATTAAAAAATTGATGATATTTTAACGGATAACATATATCCTTTGAATTTTTAATTAAATGTAAGTTTAGCTTTCATTATCATCTCTTATAGTCCAATTAATTTATTTCAATAACAATACGAGTGTTAATTTCTCCATACAAATGCCGTATGTACCCTGTCCATTGATGTCAATTGTATAGAAATGAGAAATGAGTAAAAACTCAAATAACTTGTAATTTATAAAGGTTATTGATTCAGTTTCCATTATCTGGATTAAAAAGTGTACATTCGAACACGCATTAAAAGCGTAAAAAACATAGATTTTACGTGTTGCAGGTAACTAAACGAGCGATTGCACGGATTCCTGCCCAAATTTCGCGTGCAGTCGGAACTATTTGAGTAGCCGGTAACAGGAATCCATATGTTCCACGATCGCGTAATTCCACCGTGTATGCATACTTTATCGAGGCAACGCCTTTAGCCCAATCGTCAGACGCTCCTGCAAACAGAAAAGAAACTCATTCTCCGTGATGTGAAATATTACGAAATGTATACTATCATCTTATCTTGATATCTGATTTTCATAACAGCCGTTCATTAAACCAATATAACCTTTCGTATAAATCAATCTAAAGAGTACACTAAAATTAAAATAATAATATATTAAAGTATGTACCAGAAGTCAAATACATTAGTTCTGTTGCTGGTCCAAGTTGATAATTAGTACCATGAACTTTCGAAATAGCGTTAATTGCCTTTCTCGCTACGTTCATTAAATCGGAATAATCCGACGGTTTCGAACGCGTGTAACCCCATGGTACGAGCCACATTTGAGAATAAGAATGCAAAGTCAAGTACATTCTGAAAACGTAAATTTAGCATTTAGTATTATTATACAATTAAAATTTTTACATTGGAAATTTAAAATGTATTTGAATGGTAAATTTAAATTAATTAAATGTTGATTTGACAATTACCGAATATGTTGTTTGTTTGCCAAAATATAATCTGCCATAGCCTTCGTTTCAGGTTCGGAAAAGGCGAAAGGCCCGGAATATGTTTCGTGACAAGGATCTGAACTGGCACCTCCTTCTTTGTCTTCGCCCCAGTGGTATGCGAAATTTCGATTCGGATCGACTCCTTCGCATGTAGTCCAGAACCATCTAGTATAGTGCGTTACGAATTGTAATAAATTGGATGGTGTGTATCTAGAAAAGAAAATCACACACTATTTTTAGTTAAACACACGCGAAACTCTTAACCCTTACAGAGATTAGCAATCTAATCTCCTAAAAAGCAAGAAACACACACATTTTGAAATATTTTAGCAGCATCACAGCAATGTTATAACGTTGTAACGTTGATACAATGATACTGAAAGTGTTTTTTGCTTACTGAGTTAATACTGGCCAATTTATTACTAAAAGACAATAATTAATTACTTATTTAGAGCTAAAAGTACTAAACAACAGTGTTTTAATATTTGAAATAAGTAATTAATTATTGTCTTCTATTATTATCCAATATTATATTTATGTAAGAAAAATTACTTCGTTGCGTAATTGATTAGATATACATACGATACGACTATATAATAAACTTTATAAAACAATGTCTTCCAATCCAGACAACTTTGTTCTTATCTTAAAATCTAGAATCTCATTTTTCGGCACACACATACACACACACACACAAAATCTAATTTTCAATTTCTCTAAATATAATATATCGCTCTTGATATACATATAACACTATCCAACAATTTTTTTTTTGGCATGTGGACTATTATTTTTCAAAGATTTTTGGCCATTGAATTTGAATCCATGCTCAGAAAAATCACATCACATTTCCGAAAAAATTGAAATAATATAGGCAAGAAAATGATTTTAACCATATTTAGAGTAAAGACATTTTTTTTGGTCAATTTTATTTACACTGTCCTAAAATGCTATCTTTTACAATTGAAATAAGTTTTTTTGTTTCTGTACAATTTTTTATGATCGAGTTACGTAGATTTAAAGTTAAGCTGTCTCGCGTTGTCGCGCACTATGTGTTCATTTTTGACGCGAAACACACTACAGTGTCTCTTGATCATATATAACTAGCGTCATGTTTTGATTTGTGTTTTTTAGACTTGACTTGTTCCGAGGTTAACATGACAATTGCTAGAATCATTCAGCCACAATACGTGTTTTCAGAGTGTACCACGTGTAATTGATCTTTGTTACACTCCAAGTAAAAAAATATTTCAGAAATGATATTTCGCAAGTTAAAGACAAAATCAATGTCAGATAGTGTAATAAGATCAAGCAAATATTACTGACATTAATAAATTAATTAAGACTCTGCACACAATTGGGGTGCCGAAACGAATGTTTTTTTTTCTCTTCTCACCTACTATCGTTTTGACTTTCCACATGATTACTTCTGGTTTTCCGCCAAAAGCGATCGCTGACATGGCTATATTCATAACCATCGGGATTAACAACCGGCAGAATCATCCAATCCGAGTTATTCAACAATTTCGTGTAGCTCGAGTTCTTCTCTACCAACTGACTCAATATGTAGGTCGCTACTGCGCTACCGATCCATTCTCGTCCATGCATGCCTGCAACGACGATCACGATTTACCGAAAAGATAATCTAACGGGACGAGACATGTGCAAAACGTGGGAAGCATACGGGTTCGATGTCAGTAAAGAACGGTTGACAATAATTTTAATAGCCACAAGTTGTTTATAAAAAAAGTTTTTACAATGTTATTAAGAACAATAATCAAGAGGAAAGTGTTTAAAACTATTTTTATTACATTAATATATATAATTTATTATTTATTATTTATTCACAATTATCTTTTAGTTAATACTTTTTCTTATTTGTATTAAAGGAATGACTGTCTGTACAAAAGAAACTTACCGGCATCAATCCAAATAGCAGGTTTTCTTTCGCCTTCTTTGTTTAATCCAGTCGAAACCTTCGCCATCTTTATCGGTTGGCCCTCGTAACTATGTCCAATAGTTATTAATTCTACTATTGTGGGATATCTGAAGGCTAGATGTTCTAAATAGCGTAGGATATCTGTTAAAAAGAAAGCCAATTTATTATGTTATTTAATTAAATTCATTTATTTATTTATGTGTATACATATGTAAAATAGAAATTAATTAAGGTTCATCCGAAAAAATTATTTATGTACATCAAATTAAAATTAAAAGAATTTGTATTATAATATAATAGATACTAAATATTAAACTACATTTTAAATTAGTATTAAACACATAAATATATTAAAATTGCCTCGATGGTCTAATGGCTTAGGGCGCTCATACAAAATACAAGAGATCAGGGTTCAAATCCCGGCCGAGATAATAACTTTTCGCAATAAATTTATTAACAGTTTCAACATATTAACATCTTTATAATATGATGCTTGATGATAGCATTAAATTATTAAATTGCTTGTCAATTTAATTCGCGATTACTAGAGTAGTTTTTAATTGCGTTTATAGTCCGAAAAAACAATTGGGCGCGCAGTTTGAAATGACTACAATATGGTATATATGCAAGTACATATACAGTGTATATTAGTAATTCAAGATTGAATTATTTAAAGCAATAAAGATCTAGCTTCGACTGTAATAGGTATTTTTCTAGTATTGATTGTGTTTCTCACATATGCGGTCTAAAATAAAGATTCTTAATATTGTTTATACTAAAATAGTTTAGTACGACATATAAAAATATCTTACAACACGATTTTACCTCCATATCGATGATAACGTTTCCAAGTCATTGTGTGGCCTTGAGTGGTGACCAAGTCTTCACGTTGTTCTTTAGACATCTTCGGATTTTGATAAGAGATCGTCTTCTGTTAATTAAAGAAAGCGTATTTCCTTGATTTTTACTGGCTGTACTTAATTTAAACTTGCATTTTAATTATGTCTATTAATCATGTCTACAACCAGTAAGATTTCTCTTTTCTCATACACTGACCATCAGTCAACATTTAAATAACGATTAACACATGCAGTAACGAAAACCTTTGATCCAACATTTTAATATAACAGGTGATAATTTATTCGTTACTTTCATGTTGCTTTTTGTATTTGAGTGTAAGAAATCATTGAAAAGATCATAAGTAAAGCGTGTCAGCATTAGATATGGACATCAGCTATTATCGGAATTTTCTTCCAATTGCAAGTATTATATAAATAATGAGAGACCAATTTTGTACAAATTAGTAAAGTATAATTACGATGTCATTGAGTGTTTTCTACCATT